CCATTGGAGTTGATGGGTGGAGTCTTACACAAAACATTTATGTGTGCAGAATAGGGCCAGGCTAGGTGGCAGCATAAGCCCATGCATGTATCACGATTGGACAGTAAGGGAGGCGCCATCTCACTTGGCGAAATAGTACAAAAATGAATGGTGTCGCCACCCCATTTGGCGAATAAGAGGTGTCACGTTTTACAGCATTGGCTCAGGCTACGTGACAGCCTTTGGGATTCCTTTCTTTATTGCATGCAAGGCCATTGGAGTTGATGGGTGGAGTCTTACACAAAACATTTATGTGTGCAGAATAGGGCCAGGCTAGGTGGCAGGCTAGGTGGCAGCATAAGCCCATGCATGTATCACGATTGGACAGTAAGGGAGGCGCCATCTCACTTGGCGAAATAGTACAAAAATGTATGGTGTCGCCACCCCATTTGGCGAATAAGAGGTGTCACGTTTTACAGCATTGGCTCAGGCTACGTGACAGCCTTTGGGATTCCTTTCTTTGTTGCATGCAAGGCCATTGGAGTTGATGGGTGGCAGGCTAGGTGGCTGCATAAGCCCATGCATGTAATATTATTGGCAGAAACAATTCCAGCATTCATACCTTCATACAATCAATAAACCCAAAACATTCCCACCTTCATACCTAAAACAATTCTACACAATGGCCTCTTCACCACAATTTGTTGTCAAAGCACATTTCAACGGTGAGACATACATGTGTCCCACAGTTGGGTTTTTGTTTAGAAACACCGACAATGTCCGATTTCTCTTAAACGGGAAAGCAAATTTCTCGTACTTTAAGAAAAGATTGGAGGCCAAACTTGAACGAGGCCCGGTATCCCAGATATTTTATCAGAGTCCAGTCTTTTTTGGAAACAACCAAGTTATTTTTTATAAGGTTGCAATTCAAGATGACGAGGATTTCCAGAACATGATTTCCAGCCATGTCTATTCTGGAAACGACTCTATTGAGTTGTACGTTCTGTTTCAAGAACCTCCGGTGACACAGGAGGTAGAGCCTCCGGTGACACAGGAGGTTGATCCTTTGGAGAATGAGCAAGATGAGGTGGATGCAGTTGATGATGAAGAAGAAGATAACGAGTTAGAGTTTGATGAAATGGTGAACGACGATTCTGACGATGATGGCATCCCAAGTATTCCTACCGATAAAATCTACACACCACCTACGCACATGACAAACTTCAACATGGGCGGAGATGAACCTTCTACGGACTTGTTTTTCCAACCGTATATGCAGTCGGATGAAAATTTAAAAGAGAAGGACAAGTTTCGTAATAGAGAGGAATGCATAAGGGCCATCAAAAAATTTCACATGCTCAACTCGGTTGATTATAAGGTGGATCGTGTAAACCCGGAAAGGTACAAGATCAAGTGTGTCCACCCTGACTGTATGTTCAAGCTGACCGCTTCATACAGACTAAGGGGTGACTGCTGGGTCATAGTTTCCATGACTACCCATACTTGTGTAAGTTCCACTCAATCACAAGACCACCGAAAACTCAACCATGATCTAATCTGTCAAGAAATCCTACCCCTGGTCAGCAACGACCCTTCTTTGAAGGTGAAAACAATCATCTCCCACATCACCACGGTTTTTAACTACACTCCGTCTTACCGTAAGGCGTGGTTAGCAAAGACTAAGGCGATTGAAAGGGTGTACGGAAACTGGGAGGAGTCATACCGAGAACTTCCCTGCTACCTAAATGCACTCAAGACATATTCTCCAGGTAGTGTTTATGTTCTGGAAACATTGCCAGCGTACGCCCAAGATGGTAGTCTACTACATGGCAACGGAATATTCAGTCGCGTCTTTTGGGCATTTCAACCATGCATCACAGGGTTTGCATCATGCAAACCAATTCTACAAATAGACGGGACTTGGTTGTATGGGAAGTACAAAGGCACGCTTTTGATGGCAGTTGCACAAGATGGCAACAATAACATTTTCCCCGTTGCGTTTGCCCTTGTCGAGGGGGAGACCGGTGGTGCTTGGAGCTTTTTCCTGAAAAATCTTCGTACACACGTGGCTCCTCAACCAGATCTCTGTTTGATCTCGGACAGACATGCCTCCATTGAAAGTGCCTATAATAATCCGGCAAATGGTTGGCATGACCCTCCTTCTACGCATGTCTATTGCGTCAGGCATATCGTCCAGAATTTCTCGAGGGAGGTCAAGGACAAAACATTGAGGAAAGCGGTGATGAATGCGGGATACGCACTGACACAGCCCACATTCAAATATTACCGCAACGAGATCTGTTTGTCTAACCCAGAAGCCGGTACGTGGATCAACAATATACCGGTCGAAAAGTGGACTAGGTCATACGACAATGGCCAAAGATGGGGGCATATGACAACAAATCTTATTGAATCAATGAATGGGGTATTCAAGGGCATACGAAACCTCCCCATCACTGCCTTGGTGAAATCCACGTATTTTAGGATGGCTGCGTTATTTGCCAAAAGAGGTGAAATGTGGTATGCGGTCTTGTAATCAGGACAACTATGGAGTGAAAGCTGTATGAAATACATTAAGGCTGAAAGTGCTAAAGCCAACACTCACATGGTTACACGGTTTGACCGCCATAGCCACAACTTCATTGTGAAAGAGACAATTGACCACAATGAAGGCCTGGCAAGACAAGAATACAGGGTCATTTTACCTTCTCAATGGTGCGATTGTGGCAGGTTTCAAGCTTTTCGTATGCCTTGCTCTCATGTCATTGCCGTTTGTGCTCATACCCATCAAGACGCGCTTCAACTGCTCTCAAACGTTTATAAATCTGAAACGTTGCTCACTGTTTACAACAACAACTTTCCTTTGGTGGCAAAACCGGACTATTGGCCTGAATACAACGGTGATATAGTTTGGCACAATGACCAAATGCGAAGGAACAAGAAGGGTCGTCCCAAAAGCAGGCGCATAACAACAGAAATGGACGATCTTGACAGGTTGGAAAGAAAGTGTGGTTTATGCCGTCAGGTCGGACACAATCGCAAAAACTGTCCGAATCGGGCGTCTGGCTCGACCACATAAATTTTGTAATACAATAAATCTTTTCAATATTTGTGTTGTAAACATTATGGGTTTTCCGTTAATAAAATTGTTCACACAATTTAAGAAATTCAATATAGGAAATTACATTAGGGTTTTCGCGTACAACAATGATTAACGATATTCAATCTAGGAAATTACAACTGTTAACACAATTTCATCTGACCCATGCATCATCAGCATTACATCACTGTCTGTTTTGACTTCCTCCAACCACACATTAGGTCTTCCTGTCGCATGCGAGGTTGTTGTTCGTTTTCGCTGGATCCTTCGAATTTTTCCCCCCTCGGCGATGTCTCCATCTAGCCACCGCATCAACTCCCGCTTCAGACGCTCCATGGAGTGAATGTGCCAGAATTTCATTTTCATCGCAGGTTTCGTGGCGGAGAATATAACGTAACCATCTCTGCTAAAAATCATAGGCGACGTCATTACGTAAATAAGGGAGTACAAAATAAAAATACAGTGCGAGAAAGTGTGAGAAATTTCAAAGAAACGGATGAATTATTTATAAAACAGCAAAAAACCCTAGTTTTGCCCTAGGCGCCAAGTGAGATGGCGCCTCCTCTCCTTTTTAAGGAGCATGCGCCATCTCACTTGGCTAAAAGCCAAGGGAGGCGCCAAGTGAGATGGCGCCTAGAGCAAAACCCTAGGTGCATGCGCCAAATGAGATGGCTCCTCCTTTGTGGAGCCATCTGAAACATGGTTATTTGCGTAATTTTTTCCGAAACCCGGTTATTTGCGAAATATTTTTTTAATACATGGTTATTAATAAAAAAAATTCGCAATGTCACAACTCACAAGGGATATGTGAATTACTTTGGCTGAAAATGATATTAGAAGACTCGAAGATAAAGAGTGATGAACTAATGAGACTTTATTGTGATGATAAATCTGCTATTAGCATAGTCCATAATCCAGTGCAACATGATAGAACCAAACATATTGAAGTTGACCGACACTTCATCAAAGAAAAGTTAGATAGTGGTCTTATTTGCAATCCATATGTTTCCTCTCAGGACAACGTTGCAGATCTTCAAACTAAGGGGCTAAACAACAATAATTTTGAAAAAAAATATTTCTGAGCTGAGAATGATAGATATTCATTCACCAACTTGAGGAGGAGGAGTGTTGTAAATAAGTTATTTTTACTATTATTAGTAGTAATTTATATTCAGACTTTTAGTTTATTAGTTGAGTCCATTAATTTAGAATAGTCTTATATAAAGAGATCGATGCTTGTAATTTTAAGATACTTGAAATATATTATTCAATTACAAATATTAACCATCCGATCAATCTCTTCCACCAACCCGTCTGATTGAATGGAGTTAGAAAACAGACCAAAAATCTTGAACTTTAGGAGAATGAGTCCTAACTAGAGATCTTTGTAATTCCGACCCTTCTTTCCTAATGATAACCTCAGCAAACCAATAAGAAGGGTCACCTTCTATCAAATAAAGAGTTGTTAAATTATGTTTTACCAGAAAAATAATTAATTAAACAACCTGAGCTTTTTTATATTAATGTCAACTGGGAAAATGGAAAGGGAGGTTTTTATTGGATGGTACATCTACTTGTTTTTTATATAGGATAATGGAAGGCTGAGGTATGATGTAGGAAATGAAGGTGAAGAGTAAAGTGATGAGTTGTTCAGTGATCTCAACAAATTGATTGCTGATACTATTTCTTTATTCAAAAAGGTGAATAAACCTGCTTCGTGTCGTGGTATACATTTTCTGCATATATTGCAGAATCTTCATTAACTTTTTCATTTTGGTGTAATAGCCCACTTGCAAATAATTATAAATGCATAAGTCTACAAAACCCTTCATCAATGAGTGTAACACGTTTTATTTCCTTTTTTAATGTAACTGTACATGCACAAACTAATGATAAACAGGTTTTAGAACTGAAAGCAAAACTAGTTAAAACTTGAAGACCTGCTGCTCCATTGGTCTTTCAAATTCTCACTATATCTGTGCTCTGTACTACTACATGATGATGTATTGTCTTCATCAACACCAAGTAATGCAAGTGTTAGGTGTAACTCTGCACTTGAATTTGGATATACTTCGTCATCAATGTTTTCTTCATTTTCTGAATGCTCATTGAAGCAATATTCAACTTCATCACCCTCTTTTAGGATCTTCAGTATCTGTACATAGGAATCATAAACTTTAGGAGCTGAAGGTTTTTAAGATGTAATAATTCGTAATTTGAATTCATTTTACGAATCTAACAATTTTCAATGATATTTGTCCGTGTATATCAATTAAACTCGAAAATTTGTTACCTGATTAAACTTAGGACGAATTCTAGCAGCCTGCGTGATGCATAAAGATGCTGCTAAAACCATTCTTTGCAACTGTGTCTCATCACACTTCCCTTCTAATCTTGGGTCCAACAAACCTTTAATATCCCCACGCTCTATCATTGGTTTTGCCTGAAAATTAAACCATCTTTTATAGTTCATATTCTATTTTGTAAAAAAACATGTTCATAATTGGAGTTAGGTCTTACCCAGACTACCAAGCTCTCCTGTCCTTTGCAAGGTTCAGAACTGATTGGTTCCCTACTTGATATTAGTTCAAGTAGTACTACACCAAAAGCATAGACATCTATCTTGTCACTGACTTTTCCATACATGAAGTATTCAGGAGCAAGGTAACCAAATGTTCCTACTACATCTTCTTGTGTCAAAAAGGGTGTTTTTGTTGGTCCCCATATTGCAAGTCCAAAATCAGACAACTGCAGCAAAAGGACAATCAATTTTATACATAATGTTTTAGTTTGATTGACAGCAGATTTTCGCGACAACTTTTTAAGTGGTTAATACCACTGACCAGCTAATTACGTTAAACAGATAGTTAATGGATATACTAGATGCGAAAACACAGTAACCACAAATTTGGATGCGGTTAACTACAATTTTTGTGTTCAAATACACATGTAGTTGAACACCTAAATATAATGGTTTATCATGTCCAAAATTTTGGTTAATGAAGTTATGTGGTGGTCAATGAGTTTCACACTTGGTATATCAATTAACTATCTATTCCACATAATTAACCACTAGATGACCTGCATAAATCACTTAAAAATTTGTTGCTAAATTTGGTTGTGCAAAAATACTCATTTCAATGCTAAAGATGTCAAAAACTTTTTGATTACTTGTGGTTCAAAGTCTTGGGAAAGAAGAATGTTTGAAGACTTGACATCTCTATGTATAACAGGCTTCAAGGCTTCTGTGTGTAGGTAATCAAGGGCCTCAGCTATTCCAACAGCTACATTGAATCTCACTTCCCATGACAAAATTGACCCATCTTTGTTCTTTCCTACATCCATTTATAAATTCATATAAGCATCTTTTTCATTTACAGTAATTTAGATGATGGTTGAAAAGTTAAAAACAGAAAATCAACTTAAACTTTACCATGTAGATTTTCTTCTAAGCTGCCTCTGGGGAAATAATCATAAACGGATAACAACGTATTATTGTCCTCTATGCAAATTCCAAGTAGTTGACTAATGTTTTTGTGCTTCAATGGGGATATTATTTCCATCTCAAAGGAAAAATCTTTCCAGGCTTCTTTCGATGACCGCAATACTTTAACTGCAATTAGCTTTCCATCAGAGAGAACTCCTTTGTACACACGGTTGCTCCCGCCTTTCCCAATCAAATTTTCTGCAAAGGAATACAAGATTACATCTTATTATAATATTAACAAAACACAGTTTTCTTATCAGCTGGTTTTTTCGTGCCCGTGCTGAGCTCGGGTTCGATATGCTAGTTTGTATAAAAACTGAGGATCATAATAAGAAGCAGTGTTCCAACCTGAAGAAAATTGGTCAGTGCAAGACTTAAGAGCCTCAAGGGAGAACCACTTGCAATTGAGTGAATTGACATTTAATATCTCCTCTAGGCCTTTTGGTAGTACAACAGATGGGGATAAAATAATGTTGAAGCTCTCGTCCTCAAGAATGTCGCTGGTGCTCCTTTCGAATGGATTTCTGTCGCTGGAAGATGATTGTGGACTACTTTCCGATGAACGGTCTGGTAGAGTCATTACCCATTGTACTACAGACATGTCCCTTCCATGACAGCTTTGTGAGATTTCTGAATTCGTTTTGCAAAGTAGAGGCCATCCAAGCTTCTGCTCAGAAGGATCACCTGCAAACATGGATATCGACCACGACTTGTGCTTTTCTGGATTGTCAAATGTTTCTTCTTTTGATTCCTTGGTATTTTGGGGTAGTGATTTCTCACTCTCCACCACGGCGCATCCAAATTCAGATTGGATTATTCTGTCACTCGGGTTATCTATGATTGGTCTTGGATCCAATATAAAACTACCTGTCACAAATGAAAACAAAACTTACTATACTTTCTTTTGTCACCGGCTCATTAGTGATTGATTTCTCTACGAGACTGATCCACGAAGCTTATTTGAATTTATCTACTAGCATAAACACTTGTTAGCCTGTTTGGAAGAGCTTATGAAAACAGTTTCTGACACGCCCATAAGCTTTCTTAAGCTTATTTGCATAAGCTTTATAGAATAACTTAATAAAGACTTATATGACAAGCATATATACTATAAATGCTTAATTTAGTTGTTTATCCAAACATGACCTTGGCCTAATTAAGGAAACAAATATGAACCTGGTGGTAGTTTATTGTTACACCTCCCAAAGACAATCCTCGAATCTTGGACGGCTAGAACATTGGTGGTTGGTGGAAGTCGTTTGGCGCAATATTTAGCGGTGCCAGACTTACCCCTGCAATTAAACATGTTTAAGTCCTTTAAACTAACCAAAGTAGGAAAAAACAAACCAAAAAACCCGAACACATACCCTACCACTAGAGCCAAAGCACCATGGTTTTTCGCTTCTCTAACAAGAGTGTTTCGAATCGATCTCCCCGTTAAGATTTTCGCAGAAAGACCAACCTGAAATCCAAACAGACAACATAATCTTCCCATTCCCAACCTGTAATCTAAACATTTAGTATTTATTTACCTTCTTGACATCACACAAGCCTTCAAAAACCTCTAAATACCCATCTATGATACTCTTGTTTTTCAAAACATCATCTGCATTGAAGAATCAACTTCTTTCAGTTTCACTACTAATATTTAATTGAAAATTAAAAAAAAAAAAAAAAAGAATAAAACTCCGAACTCGATTCAATTACCTGAACTTTTGGTTTTCACTACATGAACAGCAAGAACACAATCACCAGGCTCAGCAACTTTAACAAGAGCCCAATTCAGAAGCTGTCTGCTTTGAGTATCAATTCTAATCCCAACCAAAACAAACCTCTTTTCAACTGTCATTTTTTGTTCTGTCTTGTCTTCAATCCCAAAACATCTCTTGCTTCAAATCTTTCTTAAATTCACAGAAGAATATTCCTCCGAGTTTTCGTACGAACAAAAACAAACTCATTCTCTGCAAAACATAACAACTATTTGAATCTAATGAAAACGATACATATTTATGGGAAGAGAGAGAGAGAGAGAGAGAGAGAGGTGAAAAGGACAATTGAAAATGAAAATCACATGATGTAATGAATGAGAAAGAAAATCACATTCAATATTAAAATATTGTTGAATAAGACAAATAAATATGCACCTAATATTTTTAGCTTAAACCTGCTACAAATAAATTAAAATTTGTGAATAGAAGAGAAAGAAGAGAGAAAAAAAAGGTGTTGAACTTAACGAGATGTTAAAATTGCTGGGAAAATGGAGTTGTATTTGTTTAGTTAAATTATGATTATGATTGATGATGGTAACCGTAAGTGAAGATTTGTTTAGTTATTGATTTTGAGAGTGGAGTGAAACCGGACATTTTCGCGGGAAACCCTCGATACCCGGTCGCGTTATGTTGTCATGAACCGATGAAATACGATGATTACGGGGAGGGAGGGTTCAATAGCCATTGCGTTTCAATCAATCGTTTAGCTTGTAGGTTAGTTAATGGTGTACACTGCTGGCTCATCTAGGATCTACGTGTACAGATTATCGTATTTTAATTTATGATAATTGAAATTATGAATACGTGGATATCAAATCAGTAATTGAAGGTGGTTTCGAGTAGGTATTTCAATCTAAAGTTTAATTTCAATTTTTAGAAAAAAAAAGAAGATAACTTGAATAAATAAAAAATAGTTGAATAAATTTTATTTAATGAGAATGAGATTTATTGTGAATATATAACATGGTTCAACAACAAAACACGCAAGCAGTTGAAGAAAGATTGTTTCGTCTAGAAGAAAGTCTACACAACGGAAATCCAAAAGGTAATATGGTACATGAGGTTGTCTCTCAAAGAAGTCATACAATTGTACTTAAGACAGCCGCCTTTCATCGGGATCTGGCACTGTGATCTCTAAATCATCAAAAGAGTCGGAGACATCATACTTCTCCTCATAGTGCTAGAGGAGGTTGAGGAAGTCATGTTCCTCTTAAGGAACAAGTAGAGAAACAGTTAGTGAAGAACCAGCAGAAGCATCCTTTTTGCTCCTATATTCTTGACACAGATACCTAAGTCATTGGAAAGACCTCTAAAGTTGAAGGAATATGACGAAAAGGGAGATCCCGACGAACATGTGTAACACGTTGATGACCACTTGAACTACTACCATACCAATGAGGCAGAAAAGTGCAGGCTCTTTGCATTAATACTATCGAGATCAACTAGACTATAGTTCAAAGCTCTACCGGATGAAAGCGTCAAGTCATGGATCAATCTGTGCGGGAAATTCACCCTTCTTTTCACGGATCAAAAAAGACAATCGGTGACAATATTTTAGTGGGACCACACAAGGGAATAAAGAGAGTTTATAGTCGTAAATCAACCATTTCATACAAGTGGTTGTGGAAGTGGAAGGCTCTGACAAAAACCTCAAGTGTTTGATCTTTGAGAACGGTCTGAAGCAGGATATCTCCTTCAAGAAGAAATTAGGACGCAATGAGGCCCAGAGTCTAAAAAATCTACTAAATAGGGCACAACCCTTCATTAACCTTGAGGAAAAATTATCGTCTGGGCGAATATCTAGGCAACAACAGATGCGAGTTTCAGCCATCCATCCTAGAAAGAATCTGACTGACGATGGGAAGAGTCCGACCAAGGAACCCACAATCGTTATAACAAGTATACTCCCTTCAACACTTCTTTAGAGAAGATATACCAAGAGTGTACAAACACAAAATTTCAAAAGGCTGATATCAAAGACCCTTTTCTAGTTAGAGAATCCTCCAGGACCGATAAGACAAAGTATTAATGCTTTCACAAGAACCATGGCCACACCACCAACAAATGCATCAAACTAAAATATGCAATTTAAGGTTTGATAACCTAGAGGAATATGCTGGAAAAGTCCATATGGTTGCGCTACACAATGAGGGTTGTAGTATTTGAGAGAAGTTTTGTTATCCATGCTCCTTAATTACTAGCCAAAAAGCGAATCTCCCATTATCAGGATCCTCGAACAATTATTGTTCATGTTTTTAAAGTTTGGAGAAACATGTATTCCTTATTGGCATACAAAATCCAGATCATACCTTATTCTTTTAACAAGGTCAATGTCCAGTTGCCTGATATTATGGTCCAATAAGACATATAATCAATTAGTAAGAAAACATATTCAACATCACCTGAATATTTGGTTAGTTGCCTCTACAATGCTTGTCCTTCATTGGGGATCAAGTTGAGATCAAATTCTTTATTTTGAAAGTTCAAGAAAATACTTCCAAAAACAATGTGGGATGAACCAAAAAGGACTAATTATGCTCTTGACATGTTTTCCATCCTTTAGGTGATCAAAAACGGTATACAAGAAATGATATAAGGAGCAAATAAGCAAAGACCTATAAGTTATACTCCTTTTGGTTTGAAAAAGGGAAACATTAGTTATAACTCTTTAACGATTATCACAAAACTAATACATATGAATTTTTTAACCTATACAAAAAGAAAGTGGAGTGCTTTGCATTTGCGCTAATAGAGAAGGAGAAGACGGCGGTGATCGAGAAAGCCCACAATGCCATCATATTGAGCCTTGGTGATAAGGTTCTCCGACATGTCTCGAAGGAGAAGACGACAACATGTGTATGGAGAAAACTCGAAGGGATGTACATGACTAAATTCATGGTAAATTATATGTACCTGAAGCAGGCCATGTATTCATTCAAGATGAGTGAAGATAGAGTCTTGACGGAGCAGTTGGATACATTCAACAAGTTGATCCTTGATTTGAAGAATATCGAGGTTAGTATCGATGATAAAGATCAAGCATTGTTATTGTTGTGTTCTTTACCTAAGTCTCATGCTCATTTCAAAGATACTTTCTTGTATGGAAGAGATTCGTTGAAATTTGAAGAACTTCAATCAGCCTTGTACTCTAAGGATTTAAGCAAACAAAAGGAGCACAAGTCATTGCCTGTTGGTGAAGGTTTATTCGTTAAGGGGAAATTCTTGAAGAAATATGGCAGGTTTGAGAAGAAGAAGGGTAAATGTCATGATAAAACTTATAATGGTGATGCTCATGGAATTAGGTGTTATCCTTGTAAGAAGGATGGTCACATAAGAAATTTGTGCCATGAACACCTGAATAATCATTGAGGTAAGGATAATGGCAACGCAAATATTGTGCAAGATGATTTTGAATTATTTGATGTCGTTGTGGTTTCTAGAAGTGACTTTAGAGAGAATTAGATTATGGATTCAGGGTGTACTTGGCCCATGACTCCAAACAAAGATGTATTTGAGGAATTATGTGACCAAGATCGTGGATCAGTGCTGTTGGGAAACAACAAAGCTTTAAAAATTGCAAGTATTAGATATGTAATATTCAAGCTCCATGATGAGTCAATAAATTTGTTGAGTGATGGCAGGTATGTACCTGATCTGAAGATAAATTTGTGAATTTAACAAAAAAGTATATTTTTATAAAGGAGATCAAGGTATCCTGAAAGTCATGAAGGGTCGAAGGACGTCTTGAGAGGCGTAAAGAAAGAAGTCTTGTATACCTTTGAGACTGAGGTTGTAAGTGGATCAACATATTTTACCTCCACGAAACATGTGTCTAAGGAAGAATTATGGAATATAAAATTGGTTCGTGTCAGTGAAATGGGTCTTGTTGAATTGGGAAAATAGAATATGCTAGGTGGAGACAAAGCCGAAAAATTGGAATCCTGTGAACCTTGTGTGTTTGGTAAATCCTGTAGAGTGAAGTTTAACAAAGACAAACAAAGAACGCATGTATCCCTTGATTACATTCATGCTGATCTTTGGGATCCTACGAGGAATCCTTCATGCTCAGGTGCAAGGTATTTTCTATCCATGGTTGATTATTATTCCAAAAAAATTTGGGTATTCATCTAAGACAAAGGATGAAACTTTTGAGAATTTCAAAGGTTGGAAGACTTTGGTCGAAAATTAGACTGGCAGAAAGATTAAAAGGTTGAGGACCGACAATGGCCTTGAGTTCTGTAATGAAGTTTGTGATATTTATTATGTTATGTGAAGGTGTGAGAAACACAAGAAAGGGGGTTTGAATTGGGTTTCACCAAATAAAATATTTTCGTTGGTGGAAGAATAAGTTAGCTTAGAACATAACAGTAAATGAACACAATGATTTTTATCCTGGTTCACTGTTAACTAAGCTACTCCAGTCCACCCCCTCAAGGATGATTTCGCCTTCAACAAGGACTTAATCCACTATAACCAAACTAATTACAGAACAACCCACAATAAGTCTGATCAACCTTATTGGCACCCCCAATAAGTTCGTTGACCCTATTGCAAATCTACTCAAGCTACAGCAGGAGTCTTCTTGAGATTAGACCTTCACTCAGTCTCTCAAGGTATCATTCAACAACAGCTGAGTACTTTCAGTGTATTACAGATTTTCTTCTTGTAAGCAGATTACACAGGCTTTTCAGTACAATGAAAAACACTTAAGTGTTTTACTGTAAGATATGAGCAACAACTCCTTGCTTATGTATAAAACTATACACAGATGATTTCTCTACACAATTTGCACAATGATTTTTTATAGTTTTGTTGAGCTTGATTTAATCTAATAGATTTGTTATTGTAGTGTTGATTCTTACTTCTCTTCAGCTTCCAAGCCTTCCTTTCACAACTTGTAAAAGAGATCCGTTGAAAGGGTAGAAAGGTAATCAGAAATCTAGTTGTTGGTTCTCAACAGTCATAATGAGAGTGGTCACAGTAAAGTATGAAAGGAGTATCCTTGCGCCACTCTAGAAGAGTAGAGGTCATAGACCCTTTATGTACTTTTTGTACACCATCACACATTAACCATTTTGAA